CCGGTATGTATTTGCCCGGTATACCCTACACTGATGTTTTTTAAGGTCAAGTATAATTTGGCCGGTATAATTCTCACATTTCATACTTTGCCTAAAAACATCCAGTATTCTATACAATGCCGGCAACATACATATATTAAGATCTAACTAACTTTAAAGTAAAAAAAAATTTAAAAACAAAGCAAAACAGATAACAATAATAAAAATCAAAGACATAACGAAAAAATTCAACAAATAACATATTTTATACGAGTTCGAAAATGACAGCGAACGTCGCAAAAAATAAACATAAAAACAATTGCGAACGATGAGGGTAGACCTTTGAAATTTAACCAATACGCCAAGGAAGCGAACAAAAAAATCCCCAATATTCTCAGTGTAATTACCCTCTTTCCCTATTGTTACTCTTCCGACGAAACTCTAAGTTTTTAACATTATGGAATCCTCCTTCCCCTAGTCGCTTGTGAAAATTGCTTTTCTTCTTTTTAGTTGAACTTTCTTGTGTTTTTTCTCACAAGGTGAGATTTTTTTTGTTAAATCAAACATGAAATTTTTTTTTGTTTTGTTACGTAATATTTTTTCCGTGCTACATTTATGTTATTAATTTAGCAGTTAAGAATAAAAGGTTCTTTTGGTAACTACAACAGTGAAGTCAACAACCTCCAATTTCACAGTAACACATACATGACAAAATTAGTGGCAGCTCATGTAAGAAAATAATTAGAAAAATTGTGTTTCTGTAAGTTTGAAGGATTTATGAAACTCTGCCAAAATTTTTGCTTATTTTTAATTTTTCTTACGAATTAAAAAAAAACAAAAAACATTCTAATTTTTTGCAGGTACGTCCATTATTTCGAACAATACGTAGAATATGATTCCTTCCTCACTTCACCCGAGTATTCCAATCCTTGGATATCTGACAGCACTGAAGCATGGGAGATGGAAAAACAAACGTAAGATGATAATGGTGAACGCTTACTGAGTAACTTACGATCTAGTTGTCGGATTTTCACTTATAATAAAATGCAATCCTAATTAATACGAGGGGACATGACTTAAATATGCTAATTAATTAGTGCAAACGATATATTGAAATACGAAATTCGACGCAAAAATGTACTTTCTTAGAAAAAATAGGTCGACAGATTTATATTTTTGACTCTCAAAGAATCTTGAGAGCTGCAATCTTCAAAATTCTTACTTAACACAAAGACAGACACGAAGTCATGTAGAACATAAACAAACTAATTATGTATCGAAATTACCAGGTGCAAAAAATAAAAATATATCACGGTTACAATAAAATGCATAAACAAATATTAAATCTAAGTTAAGTAAAAGATATAGGCGAGAAAAAATTATATTGGAACAAATTCGATGTGNAGATAACAAAAATTGAAAATGTATCTCTAACATTAACGGGAAAATGGCCGTCCGCGCGGACGTCGGGTTTGAGAAATTTGTTGTCCGCAGGGAGTTTTTGACCGCCGAGGACGGGCGGACGGGCTGTTTTTCGAGCCCTGGCTTAGCTCAACTTTTATACACCATTTTGCTTATAAACTATCAGCTGTCGCTGGCGTCTTAGGTCACATGTGTGGGCATCCGCGATCTTCTTCTTGAAGTACTATTAACCAATTGATACAACCTTAATGCGCGCCAAACAAAACAGATTTTTTTCATCACTTATTTTGTTTCATCGTCTGCTTTTATGCTGTTTTAAACCTTTCGTAACTCTAGCTAGTTAAATATATTTTAGGTATAAAAACTGCTGTTTAGCGAAAATTAAATATTTATTAAATATTATATTTTTATTAATGAAGTAATAATATTTAATAATGAATTCTTAATAAACATTTTCGTTTGTAAAACGTAATATTATTGATTTATATTATTATTTTCTTAAAGCATTTTTAGGTTGTCATACACTATTAAACCAATCGTTATTGCAGATTTACTAATTGTTTTAGTTCTTTTGTTTTACTATTTTCTTAAAATTTATTAATTTATGGTGATTTTTATTCCTGCTTTACGTGCATTACGCTTTTCGCTACAAAACTAAAATTTTCTGAAAAATAGTTATTAAATAGCTCAATGTATTTAGGTACTATACACAAGTCAATGAAGTTTGTGATGTAAACAGCTAAAAAGCAACTAGGTATTTTATTCAAGTTTGTATTGAAGAATACTTTTATACAACTGTATTGTATTTTTGTAACATTTTTGTTTAGTGAATGAAAAAATATTTGAAGTCTATTTATAGAATAAAAAAAGGGAGATTAAATTTGTTGTTGGCGAATATAAAATTATAAAATGAAAAAAAAAATATATTTGCTAGTTAAAATTAACTATAATTTCATTTCTTGTTATCCCCCAAAAATAAATGTGAATTTAACATTTTTCTTGGAATTTGTTATTTTAAATTTATTTTCCCTAAAACTGCTTTGCAGCCCAAAATTTTTGGAGTAGTAAATTTGTAACGAAACTGGAAATAATTTTTTTCAAACAGCAGGTGTTTAATTTCATATAAAAAGAATTCTTGTGCATATTGACGTCGTTGCATTATCCTAAATATAGATGTTCTAGAAATACTCGCAATAAGTTTCAATTATACCAACATTAAAAAAAATAAGAACTTTACTCTACCAAATCTATTAAAAATTTAAATGTTTTTGTCATTTTAAATATTTTTGTCATACGATCGGCAACTGGCTAACTTTTCTCAGGATTGGCGATCGAAATGGGCTACAGGTGGCGTAGAACTGAACTCTTTTCCTAATGCAACACTTCGCCTTCATCATTAGCGTGTGGAGAGTCACAGGAGAAGGAAGTAGTTAGTTTCTGTCTTGATTTTCAAATAGATTGAAAAAGTTTAAGCTAGGAAACTATATGGAACTGAAAAATACATAGAACATATTTCTAAAAGAAAGGTGAAAATTGATAAGAGGAAATATGTAGAAAAAAAAATAATAAATATAAATTTAAAATTTTCGAAATTTCTTCTGACTAAATTATTCAGACTATATTCTCCAGATAGCTGTTACTTCCCATATTTTCAGGATCAAGAATATCGATATCAGGATCACCATCGATAAAAAGGTATTTTTATCAGAAAAAGTACGCTTTTGTGTCTGCTGTCGTGATTTAAAATCTTTTTGACACAAATTAATTAGCATATTTGAGATTAAGTTCTTGAATTATTGACATTGCGTCTTAAATAGTAAGCGAAAATCCACTCTCTACATCAAAATAACTAAACTAAGGTGCTTTTCATTTTCCATACCGTACATCGTTTTTACCAAATAGATGCTTCCAGCATTTTGAACTACAATCTTAAATTAGATTGACGGTTTTCAAAAATATATGACACGAAAAGGGTTAAAGTTTAAAAAAAAATTATTATTGCAGCAAATTATATTCCCCTCCCCCTTAGAAATTCTGGTTTTAGTTCAACATTTTGTTGACAGATGGCGCTATAGAACAATAGAGATATTTTTTCATCTGTTTGAAAAACTAACCAAAAATAAAAATTTCTAGAAGGAAAAATATTTGCTTTGCCTCTTAAAATTTGCTGCAATTTTTTTAAAATAAAACTTTAACCGTTTTCATGTTATGCGTTTTTAAAAGCCGTTTGTCTAATTTAGGACATTCTGTCTGTGATTTATGTTTATTTTTTATTCTCTCTTTTAAAACAGGAAAGAAGTGAGCGTACGAAGAGTGAAGAAATGGGCTTTCTCGTTACAAGAGCTTCTAAAAGATCCAGCGGGAAGAGAACAATTTTATAAATTCCTCGACAAAGAATTTAGCGCTGAAAACCTCAAGTGAGTGATTGTTCCTTCCATAAAAAGCATTCGATGTTTGACAATGCCATAGAGCAAACTCTCCAGACCAGCTTTCCCAAAAATTGTTCCGCGGAACGCTAAAGTTCCACGGAAGTCCTAAAATTGGGACTCTTTACCCCAGTGTTTCCCAACCTTTTTTGTGCCATGCCCCACCTAAGCCTTTCTAAGATTTTTATGCCCCCCTATGTAACATATACATAATTTTTAATATTAAAAAAAATTGAAATGTTCGTTTAAGAAACTTAAATGATGGGTTTTAGGAAGAAATCACTAGGAAATAGTTAACGAAACACAGTAAGTAAATTTTCAAAACGTATAATGAAAAACTAAAATTCAAATTCTAAATAAATTTAATATTTTAATTTAGTGAGATCCTTGCGCCTGATGCTTGTTGCACAGAGATTTTATGTTAGGTTCTGATTTGGCAGTTTCAAGTCACCCCGTTTTTTATATCCAGACGATTTCTTTTTTTTCTACCAGTAAATCATTTACAGCACTAAATCCACATTAAGCTAAATATGAAGATGGAAACGGTAACAATAGTTTTCTTGCACAGTTAGTTGAATTTGGTTACTTGATTTCTGTTTCCTCACAAACCCATGCCATCACTCCTTTTATATTAAATNCAGTTGATATTTTGTTCTCGTCAAACGAATTTATAATATTTATTGGCCGCAATTATTTAAGAATTTACTTTTTTCTTTCAATTTCGGCACCGAAATCTAACATTGCATTTAAATGGCCCGGAGCAAAAGGGTTAAACTCATGTAGAGTCCATTTTCGAATTGCCCCCCTTAGTAATCAAATTGCCCCCCGGTGGGGCGTGGGCCCCACGTTGGGAAACACTGCTTTACCCAGTAAATTAATTAATCTTTATGAAATTATGTAATTAAATGCCTGTGAATATTTTTCGAATAACAATAAAATTATAAAATGACATCTTTATAAAAAAAACATTTTTATAAGTATTTTCCATCAAATTTTTTAATTCCAAATCTTGATTAAAAGATTTCAACATCTATTCCAGCTCTTATTCGTTTACGTTTTCACTTCAACAAAAACAATAATTCAGCTTATTCTATTGATTTTCAGCTTATGCGTACACCAAAAATTTCATTCTTCACAATCAGTAATTTGTCTTTTTTTCTTCTTTTTTTTTGTTGCTTAATATGTTTACATGCTAATTTTTATTCATGAAGTGAGGGTTGCATTAAAAGAAGGCGGAAAATTTAGGGTTTCATAGCTTAAAAAAATTTGGGAAATGCTGCTCTAAGCATATTTTTCACACTAAATCGAATGAGACTAAGGAACAACGTGGGAATTTTTATTTATGAAGTGAGGGTTCCGGTAAAAGAAGATTAAACATTTAGGGTTCCATTGCTTAGAAAAAAAATTGAGAATCGCTACTCCAGTCATATTTTTCACACCAAATCGAAGGAGACTAATGAGCAAAGTAAGAATTTTATTCATAAATTGAGGGATCCGCTAAAAGAAGGTTGAGCATTTAGGGTTCCATTGCTTAAGAAAAATGGAAATCGCTGCCCTGAGCATATTTTTCACATTGAATCGAATGAGACTAAGGAACAACGTGGGAATTTTTATTTATGAAGTGAGGGTTCCGGTAAAAGAAGATTAAACATTTAGGGTTCCATTGCTTAGAAAAAAAATTGAGAATCGCTGCTCCAGGCATATTTTTCACACTAAATCGAAGGAGACTAATGAGAAAGGCGGATATCATTAATAGCGTACGTTTATATACGTTTTCAAGTAAAAAAAATTCAGTTTTGTACCGATACTTTCTAACACGATTGACATTACTGATGCATTGTTTCTTTTGTTGTTTACGAAAAGGATATTAGTCTAATTTCAAACAAAATAAAAAAAAACTCCTTTTTATACTTCTAAACCTATAGTTCTGTCGACTTAGTTTTGATTGTATTAGATTATGCGTAATTTTTTTTCTTCACAATCAGTAATTTGTCTTTTTTTCTTCTTTTTTTTTGTTGCTTAATATGTTTACATGCTAATTTTTATTCATGAAGTGAGGGTTGCATTAAAAGAAGGCGGAAAATTTAGGGTTTCATAGCTTAAAAAAATTTGGGAAACGCTGCCCTAAGCATATTTTTCACACTAAATAATTTTTTTTCTTTTTTTTTTCGAAAACATTTCCTAACTCGTTTGGATAGCACGGTTTGAGTCGTGATTTCGTGATTCCTCCAATCGTGAGTCTCTACCATTAATTTTCGTATTCTATATAAAATGATAACCGCTCACAATATTTAATCTCAAAAATGCACACTGGATATAATAGCGATATATCTGCACTACCACTATCTACGCACTAGTAGATAGTGCAGATAGAAAAATCCCCTCCATTCCCAGTAAGTTTGTGTTAGCAATGTTCATATTGTTCAAATCATATTCAACAATGATACTATTTTTCCGTAGATTCTATGATGCTGTTCAAGAATTGAAACAAGTGAACGCTGCTGATGTGGAAAGTAAAGTAAAGGAAATTTGGAAGTAAGTTTCATAACAATAATCTACTTACAAACAGAATGAACGAAATAAAGCTGGTCGTTTAGCGTTCAAAGTTAATAGAGCTGCACAAAAGTCTGGAAAGAGTCACCGTTAATCCATTGACGTCGATCCATGGGGGCCATTTCCAGCATTTCCTACAGGGTGGCTACTAAATACTGTAGCACTTCAAAAAATAGGAATTAATTTCAATCGTTCTGCAAAAAATTGTGAAAGATATAAAGTAAAGGAAATTTGGAAGTAAGTTTCATAACAATAATCTACTTATAAACAGAATGAACGAAATAAAGCTGGTCATTTAGTGTTCAAAGTTAATAGAGCTGCACGAAAATCTGGAAAGAGCCACCGTTAATCCATTGACGTCGATGCATGGGGGCCATTTCCAGCATTTCCTACTGGGTGGCTACTAAATACTGTAACACTTCAAAAAATAGGAATTAATTTTAATCGTTCTGCAAAAAATTGTTAAAGATATAAAGTAAAGGAAATTTGGAAGTAAGTTTCATAACAATAATCTACTTATAAACAGAATGAACGAAATAAAGCTGGTCATTTAGTGTTCAAAGTTAATAGAGCTGCACAAAAATCTGGAAAGAGTCACCGTTAATCCATTGGCGTCGATCCATGGGGGCCATTTCCAGCATTTCCTACAGGGTGGCTACTAAATACTGCAACACTTCAAAAAATAGGAATTAATTTTAATCGTTCTGCAAAACAATTGCTCTCTGTGAATGGAACTTTCTATAAGTGCAACGAGTTTTGTTTAAAGCAATATATTTAGAATCAGTTTAAAAATGGAATGGAAAAGGTTGATGGTTAAACAGCTTTTCGATCGCGTATATTCTGGAGGTAGAATCTTTAAGTAATTAAAATCTCTTGCGTTTAATAGAACATTTACGTATAGAACTATAAATTGGATACTAATAGCTGTAACGATCTACCCAGGTCCGGTCGCTACGCAGGTTACAAAAAAGAATAAAGGTCTGGTTTCTTAGGACAAGCGCCTTATCTGGGCGTCAGCGGAAAGTTGACGTAGAACTGACGCCAAAAAAATACTTTTTTGTTAGCTCAGCGTGAGCAGTCGGTCCAACATAGACATTATCTCTCATTGCGCATGCGTTAATAACGTAAACAAATATTTATTTTGAATTTGTATTGATTTTGTTATTGTCGACCAGTGTTTCTGAGAACAAATAATGACTTTGTCCTGAGCTAAATGAAGAGTGCTATGTTTAATGAAGAAGCTGNATCAGTTTAAAAATGGAATGGAAAAGGTTGATGGTTAAACAGCTTTTCGATCGCGTATATTCTGGAGGTAGAATCTTTAAGTAATTAAAATCTCTTGCGTTTAATAGAACATTTACGTATAGAACTATAAATAGGATACTAATAGCTGTAACGATCTACCCAGGTTCGGTCGCTGCGCAGGTTATAAAAAAGAATAAGACAATGATGTCAGATGATGTTTTTTCTTCATTAAAATTTTTTATTCGAGCTCTAAGGATTTGCTTTCAATTTTAGTTTTGACCAGACACACGCTACTACTACTTCAGCTAAAATAGATTGAAAAGCGTTGCGCCATTGCTACACCTTTGGACCTCCTGCTAGTAATAACGCCACATAAGTAAATAAAACGTGATCTTTTATTTCCTCCGCAAAAAGTTAAAGAACTAAACGATATGTTAGAAACATAAAAAACTACAAAGTGTATATTCAAGTAAATGGTGGACGTTTACTTCTTAGTATCATTACTAGATGGTGGCACCAATTTCTATAGTCAATACGTAGTTCTGCACAGTGGCGGATCCAGCGGGGGGTCATAGGGGTCATGACCCCCCCCCAAAAAAAAGCAAAATTGAAAAATAAAATAAAAATAATATTCTTTTTAATAGTTTACAAAAGAAATAAAATATTTAAAAAATTATTTAAGGGGCATATACACCTAGGTAGGTCGGAAAAATCGATTTTTTTTTCAATTAATATGTTGTTGAGAATTTAATAATTCTGCCAGTTAGTGCAGCAACAGCAGAACGTCCCTTTTCAACTCTTCGACTTCTCAAAACTTGGCTTAGAGCAACTCAGAATCAAGAACGATTAAATGGACTCGCATTATTAGAGGAAAAGGTGTAAATATGGGCACCCTCTTTTGTTTTTTGGATAAAGTTACTTTCAATTTGAAAATTTCTAGATTTTTATCTTTCATTAACAACTATAACAAGTTTCCTAAATGCGAGAAGGCAAAACAATGATTAACATCAATTATTTCATTTCAAAAACGACGATTTTCAAAAATCTTTTAAAAAAGCACCAGAAAAAATGGGGTGTAAATATGGGCCCTCTTCAAAAAAGCCACCAAAAATAGTTTAAAAACAGGATAAAACAATACAAAATGGTAGAGAATTTATTTATTACAGGAAAAAAAATTATTTACAGAAATCGCAAACATAACTGGCTCTTTCACCCCCGGCACAGTGCCCACATTTGGCACATAACGCATCTTACCCACACCTCTCCTCGAGTGTCTTCAGAGAACTTTCCATCACAAAAACTGCAAGTTGCATCGCTTGAGTCTGGTTTATCCCCACCGTTGACATTTATTAGATTCGTATCATCATCGCTGTAGATAAGAGGAGGGTCATCGAGTCTGATGAGTCCGATGATGAATCGTATCGTTGCGTGGGCCGAATTTTCTTTTTTTGAAGGCCTTTCGTCTTCCCACCCTGCCCTCTGGCCGGTCTCTTACCCCGGGAAAACTCAAGGACGTCTTCTTGAGAGCACTTGTCAAGCGTCTTGGTCAACTGATCCTTGTATGGTAATCCGGTGATGAGGCTGGACCTTGCTGCTTTGCGTCCACGAGTAGTGGTTATCTTCTTAATGTTGGGAACAGGAGATATGTCGAACGGAGAAATTGCACTTGAAGTTCCCGGGGAACATTGAGGTATTTCAGCTGCCTTATCAATTGGCATAACTAGAGCCTGATGTGCTAAACTCCACTAAAAAAAGTTGGCGTAATTATGGGCACCCTTTAAATGGGGGCCCATATTTACACCAACCCCACCTAAGAAGGATGGCCACTATCACAAGTAACCTAAAAGCGTGCGTGACTAAAGGTGTGCTTCAAAAAATAGCTTAAGATCTCCGCTTTCCGGATATCACTGTCAAATTATTTTTAACTGAACATAAGTACATGAAAAGAAAACGATTTCACATACCTCTCAAAAGTTTGCAGTCCAGAATAAACACCAATTTGCACAATAACTCACGCTGCATTCACACTACTTGAAAAAATGGTTTCAACTGCTCTGTACAATCTTATATTAGCAACTGGCGCCATATACAGTCCTTGCCGCCAATCTTCAGTACCTCCCATAGCTACTAGGGAGGGGTGCCCATATTTACACCTGTGACCATTTTTACACCTTCTCCTCTACACACTAATCGAGAAATTGATTTGGATGTTTAAAAAAATCATTGACAGATTTGCCAAAGTTTCTAAAAAACGCATTACATTTATTATTTAAAGATTTTGAATACTTGAATTATTTGTGTATTATTCTAGTGTTTATTATGAAAAAAATAAATGAGAAGACTAGCGTTAAAAACCCCAGTTTTTTTTTAAAAGTTTAAAAAAAAACATTTATAAAAAAAAACTAATTGTGGAGGGGGGAATCTGATTCCATAACCCCCCCCAGGACAAATTTCTGGATCCGCCCCTTGTTCTGCAAAGTTTTTTTAAAACTTATTTTAATCGAAAATATCGACCTCTTTACTAAAAAAATCTCTTTTTTTATATAGTATGCCCATATAAGAAAATATGGGCTTCCCCAATAAGAAAATATATGCTTCATATAGGAGTATAATATATCTTATTGGGTTCATAAATATATGCTTCATATTTTCTTATTGGGGAAGCATATGCTATATATACTTCCCCAATAAGAAAAAAATTTTAAAACTATTAATGACTCGAGAGTCGAATAAAAGTTGTTTTATATTTTTTATTCTTGAAAGAAATACTGAAAAAACTCTTATTTTCATCATTGTCACTAAATGACAGCATCAGTACGGTACCAGGAGGCTGACTGGTTTTAAATTCAACATACATTTTCAAATACCGATTGATCTCATAGTGGACTAATCGTAGAGACACGGTTCCCAGTAGAACACCAAAATCAAGCATCTCTGGCTGCTGTCAATAAGCGGGTGGGTGACCGCTTTGATCAGCCTACGTGAGGACTGAGAATGCGGGATATCGGTCCTCGTTAAACTGTTCTACCGTAAGGTGCTCGACTTCGCGCAGGTCGTCGGGCTACCAAAGCAGGGGAGCCATCCTCTCTGCAGAGGATCGAAATTACGATGGCCCGTCTTCGGATCATCCTAAGGATAGTTTCCCAGCCCGTCGCCAATAGCCCATCGCGCAGCCGTAGTGTGACGTAAATAAAGTGCCTACCTACCTATCAAATACCGAGTGGTGTCTCTATTTTCACATGTGATTGATGTTATTTTACTTGTTTCAGTGAGTTCTTGGAAGATGATGCCAACACTCCAGTTAATATCGATTCCCAGAGTTTTGCCAACACAAAAAAGAATGTAGAAGAGCCGGATAGATGGGTTTTCGACGAAGCTGCCGTAAGTACAACATTCTAGATTCTAAAAAAAAAAAAAGCTTTTTTACGTCTCGTAATTCGTAAGTTGCAACTAAATTAATAAATCAAAATCGTTCGTTGTTAAACAGAGAAAGCTTTAAAATGATTCTCTTTTTAATAAAACGTGGAAAAGTAGACTTATGGTACAGAAAGACGCTTCTAATGTTTCTGATAACAGTTTTTTTTTTAACTACGTCTATTCTTATGAGCATGCGCAGCTTAGTGTAGTTAGAAGTCTCATTCTTTTTCGTATGCTTTATAGATTGGATTTTTAGTCGCCCGTGGTAACCCTGTTTAGGCGACCCAAACTGTGGTCCTTCTTTTTTTTCTTGGTGAAGTAGAAAAAGTAAAAAAATACTGTCGAATATCATTGTCACACTGTAGATATCCTTTTAAATTAATCCTTGTAACCAGTTTTTTTCTCCATACATGAAAGTATGAAAGAGGTATGTTAAAGTACTTTTGGTAAAAAAAAAAATTAAAAAAAAGATTAGTCGGTCATAAACTTATAGGTTTTGTGAAACTGTTTAAAATTTCATTGAAAACTATACATGATTTTTAAACTTTATATTTTTTAGAGTCATCTTTACCTTCTAATGAAGAATGACAGCTACGCAAGATACCTTCGATCAGATCTTTACAAAGAATATTTGAATGGAACAAAGAAAAAAGTAAGGAATGCTCTTATCTTTTAAAATATGTCACAAAAAAAAACTTAAAATGGAATACGTTTTTCAAACAAACTAGATAATTTTATTTTGCTGAAGTGCATGATTTTCGAAATACATAGAACTAAAGTGACACCGCCTTGGTTTTAATGCGTTACAACAAGTGTAACATGAAGGATGTTTCGATTTATTTCAGCAAGATGATGTGTTCTTGCTTTCAGTTCAGTTTCCTTAAATGCTGTTTTTCCAAGCTCTGTCTTTAAAGAAAGAAAAAATAGTGCGTGAAGTCCCTCCGCGCGGAAGAAGTGAAACTTCGTAATGTGGAAATGAAAATAGGAAGGGGTAGAAATTGATTTTTAGTGAAATCATATTGTTTCTTTAAGACAAACTTTATTAACATTGCTTACAATTCACAATTGATCGCATCTTTTAATTATCATTTTCGAGTGGAGAAATATTCAAATCTATAACATTTACTAATGATGATAAGATAACTAAGATGGATTATGATAACTAAAGTAAGATACGAAATGTTTGAGTTCTATTTTTTCAATATTTCTTGCAAAAACTGCATCAATGGTAGTTCCCCCTTTGGTTGTTGGATCATTCCTACCATTTATCATTTCCAATCCAAATTTGTCTTTAAGGAAGGTTAATAATGTTTCAGCTTCAGGTAACGAGAAATTCACATTAAAATCTCCTGCAAGGATCACAGGCCGCTCACAATAATCAATTTCTTCACCAGTAACGTCTGCCAGAGCTTGTGAACCTGCAGTGGATAGTGGCAATAAAGATTTTGCAATAAATAATTTAATATCCCTCATGGCTGCATTTGGTGAAATATAAATGGCAATTAGAAAAGAGAAAACCTAACAATCAATTGATATTCACAAGAGACGTACCTTGACATAACCTTAAATCCGTCGCATTGTCCGTGGGATTGTTTTCACTCATTTTTTACAATTGTTATCCACTAAGTTTGAAAATAAAAAATACTACCCTATTAAATTATATGTGTATCAAATCAAACTAAAATATTTATAGAAAAACAGTACTTTTATTATTTTTATACTAGTGAGAACCAAAACAATACGGAAATGAATAAGGGAAAACTGGATCCTACCACGTGATTTCCCGGCCAATAAAAATGTAGCGTTAAACGTTTAACGCAACCACTTCAATAAAAAAAGCCATAGTATCACTTCAATAAAAAAATCCATAGTTTAAGTGCCTTACACTTGAAGCAATGCGATGATTTTAAGCTATATATATAATCTTGCCGTGAAGAAATATTTGGGCTTCAAAACAGGCAAATAACTTTATTTTAAAAGCTATTAAACTTTTTTTTAAAATCGCCAATTTGGCGGCATTTTTCCACTTTGAATATTATCAAAATCACTGCGTATTCTCAGATAATGCAGTAGTGGAGTAAATTTTTAAATATTAAAAAATTAAACCACAAACGCTAATCATTTTCACAAAACTGTGGGTTTTCTCCACATTGACGTTTTGCGCCATTTTCAAAATAAGCGTAGACAGCGCAGACTTCAGATAGGCTAAACTTGAAATAACAGTCATGAGTAACAGTTGCAAACTCACAGCAGTTATAAAAATAACATATTATTTGAAAAAAAGGTTTATATCGTATTACGACGGAGCCTTTGAAAAACAGCCTTAAAAGACGCTCTCGTCTTTGCAAATCACGGTTTCTTTGAAGTTAGTAAATGGACGAGTGGTGATGAGCTGAGTCTCTTAACTGCATCGTTTTCTTTGTCAATATTTGTTCCAAATTGTATTCTTACTCGAAGCCAGGAAAGATGTCTAACACGCTTCGATACACTACAAGCCCTAATTGGAGAGGAACTAGCACACTTCAAAACCGTTTTCGAGCTTTTTATTTATTTTATTTTGTTGACAAGTTAGTTACCGATTCATTAAATTACAATAAAACATTTAATTCCGATACAACATCGAAAATAATTATTAGATAACAAAAAATAGTGTGAAAGTATATTTATTTAAACAGATCCTTTCCCCCTCTTTTTTCAGAGTAAGCTCTTCATTCCGAAACTGCCAAGCCTCAGCATTGGTTCTTAACCTAATCATCATCATCGACAAAAGTGAAATATATTTTGTTATCGAAAATCTTCCATCAAAATCTGTCTATTTTCATAGAGATCATCACTTATCAAAGTCAAACCACAAAGTGTACAAGAACGAATAAGCTGCTTTCATCGGTTTCATTTTGGGTGTCTTTAACTACTGCCAGATCAATTTTTGATTCTCGTACTGAGAAGAGAAACCAAGTACGCATCAATCAGCCACATGCTAGTCAAGATAGTTGAAGGACTTATTCCGATTTAGTTATTAGAAAAATAATTATTAGTGTTTTAAGTAAAAAGATTGTGCTTCGGTAATTTAATAAACCCACCCGATGTATATTTTAGTAATTCCCCCTGACCTATGGATTGTTTTCAACAATAATATGTGCAAAAAGAAACTTAAACTCAATAGAAAACTGTTACCTTTTGTTTCATTATTATTGTTAAACTCAAATACCAATTTGAAGCTTTAAATTTAATACATCAAAAGCTGGTACCTAATGTCGATGTTTTCCCCCTGATCTATGCACTGTATTCAACAATCTGTGCACAATAACTTAAGCCTAAAAAGAACACTGGATTAATACATTTAATTTCAAAATAACCTTAAAAGAGTTATTTTGAAATTAAATGTATCAAAAGCTGGTACCTAATGTCGATGTTTTTCCCCTTACCTATACACTGTATCCTGTATCCAACAATCTGTGCACTATAACTTAAGCCTAAAAAGAACACTGTCACCTTAAAAGAGTTATTTTGAAATTAAATACATCAAAAGTTGGTACTTAATGTCGATGCTTCCCCCCTGATCTACGCACTGTATCCAACAATCTGTGCACAATAACTTAAGCCTAAAAAGAACACTGTTACCTTAAAAGAGTTATTTTCAAGTGCAATTTTTATTTGTTTCATTGTTAAACTCAAAATACTAAATTAAAGCTTTAAATTGGCTGGTTCCTTTCGTTGTTCTGGGAAATAATTTGTTCGCAAATCGATGCATAAGTTGGTACAAAACACCAACTAGTAATATGGAGTAACAGTGTCAAGTTTTATTTTTGCCTTTCGATGGAAACCGCATATCAATTCGAGCTCCCTAAAACACTGATACAAACATAATTTGAAGACGTCGTTTTACTCGTTAGTTAAGGTCATTCATTTTGTAAAGACAGCGTGGCTCAATACAGTGGTCGGAAAAACTACATTATTTTCGTAGTTTACAACTTCATTGTACAAATGTAGTTAACTACAATTACTTTTTTTAAATGTAGCAACTACTTCACTACTTTAAGGAGACCAACTTACATTAAATGTAAAGTAATAGTTAAGAAATATTTATTCATGTTTAGTTTGTTATTCCAAAAATATTTTTTTCCTTCAACTTTTTATGCCTTTCTCGACAGCGAATATTTAATTTAGGAAATGCGAAATTATCAAATACTTAAAATTTTTTAATTGTTTAATGCTCTTTAATTTTTTTCTAAGAAATTAAGTACATCGAAAATACATTCCCTTCCCATGAAATAACTTCAATGTTTCACGAGAGTACAATGTGTGACCAAAGTGATTAATTACCTATTTTTCGCAATGGCAAGTTTAAATATGTAATTCTATGTAATTCCTGTTAACCCTCAGCTGCAATCACATGATCATTTTCATTGCTTTCCACATCCAAGGCTTCGTGGCCAAAATTTCGATAAAATTTGTTTCAAAATTTGGGCTTTTTTATGTGCAGGTAAATTGAATTCATAAATGAAATTACTGACTGAAATATGGCGAGCAAAAATAAAAATAATAATATAGTACGTTTAAATAATTAAATATAGCAATGAAAATATAATAATTTTCGTAATTTCATATTAAAAATGAAAAGCAAATTATATTTCCGAAGTAATATTACAAAAAAACCAATTTTTACAACGGGTTAANAAAAAAAAAAACATAATTTTTGTTTTTCGGTATATTTAGTCCACCTTTGCAATACTGGCAAAACGGTGCAGGTTTTTTCGAAAGAAGAAACATCAAAGAAGACAGCAAAATTTTTTTTAGCTAATTACCTCGTGGAACTTTTTTAAACCAAGTTTCGAAAGTCATTCAAACATTGTAAAATGTCAAATGATAAGATATAAACTATACGTTTGTGAAGACTATTAACTAATCCAACAAATTGAAAAATTGTACTATAATTTCAGACTAATTACTCTGATAAAAATTTAACAGTAAGGTGAAATTCCTATATATATATTTCTGAAATAAAAATTTAAAAAAAAATGTTAAACATATTTTTTATTGCATTGTACTCTCGTCGATCCAAAAAGTAAATTATAATGCTTGCAATGATTATGAATACTTAATTTGGGCTATATTAAAACTGCCTACACATATTTTAGTTGAAAATTTAATTTTTGACTTTTGGCCAAAGATCATGGTCTTCTGGCCCACAGTGCATCCATTAACAGACCCGCGAGATTTGTATCCATCAAATTCGAAAAGCCTTTCTTATTAAGCCAAGAGCCTTTCTTATTAAATTTCTGTTCTTTACTAAACTAACGTTAGTCAGTTCTGTCTGTTTCTTTACTAAACTAACGTTAAAAGTAGTTGCCAAGAATCGCTACAAACTACTGTATATCTGTATCGCACTAATTTTTAAAAAAAGTAGCACACTACAAACTACGAAAAAAAGTAGCGGCTACGGTAGTTTCACAACTTGTAGATGGCTACTTCCGACTACTGCTCAATACGAACTTATGAATTATTTTTCTGGTGGCTTATTGCAATACACTATGGATTATCATTATCCTACAATAAGCACAGCTGCCTTTAAAAATATAATATTTATAAATAAAAAAATCAAAATTATTTTGATGAAAATTTTGAAAAGTACAATCTAAGGAAAAAAATTGTTTAAATATACATTTGTAGCATCCACAATGTTATTTTTGGATTTTGATTACCATATGTTATTATCATTTTTTGGGAAATGTAAAAATAACTAGATATGTGCCTAGGAGTTGAAAAGAGAAATATCGTAGCAAGGAATATTTAATACTCAAAAAGGGGTCGTTAAAAAATTATCACATTTTCTTTTTACCCCTTTCGTGACAACACTATACTTCAATCTCACTATATTAGATAAAAACATACAGTACAGGTTGTTATAGATTACTTATACTACATTATAATAATTTAGCAAGTCTTGATGTTTCTAATTTAACACGGCAAGGTGTTTGAATGCCATTTGTGAGCTTAACAAAAACAATGATTATACACTACTCAACAATAATGGAACAGACACTTACAGTTCTTGTATTATTTTCAATTTCTCAAGAAAAACTTGGATTATTTTATAACTTTCGAGGTGATTAGATCTTGCTATTTTTCATACTTAACAATCAATTTTAAAGCTTTAAGGATTAGCAAAAAATTTCATGACCATGGACGAAAACAAATTTTTTGAACAATTTTCAATTGATCAAAAAAAAAAAAAAAAAAAAAAATTGCATTTTAAAATTTGATATCAATTTTTGTTAAAATTACGCAAAATATGAGTATTTAAAATAATTCTTTCATACCGTTCATAAAAAAATTTTTAAAAAAAATTTGCATTCACAATTTTGTCGTGAATCGTATTTAGTAACTAAAGTCCACTTTCAATATCTTGAAAATTTAAAAAGTTTTCAGAAATTATTTAAGTACTTTTTGTATTCTTTAAAAGACAGCTCTAAATGATAAGGGGGTTTTCCAGAAATTTAATTCAGCACCACAAAACAAAATTTTATAACAAATTATACCTAGCAATAATCGTCTATATACTAAAATGTCATAGTATTCGGGGGGAAAAATAAACTAATGGGTGATTGTTATCCATTATTGTAGGGTAGTGTATACATAATGATATATCATCAATTGAAAGCTCAAAAATGATTACTTTGATCAAAAATTTATAAAAACGAATATAATTCTTAAATGTTTAAAAAAAAAAAAAGTTTACTTTTGTGTCAATTAAAGCCAGAAATGGGTATTTTCCGTTAGTGTAATCGATTTTACACAATTTGCCAAATTTAATCAGCAAATGACAAATTTATAAAAAATGTCTTTCTATGTATATAAAATAACATTCTTAAAATGGAAAACAATAATTTTTAGAATTAAAAAGGGTATTTTTTTAGATTAAAAAGAAATACAACCAGTTTTAAAATTATAAAATTCGTTTCCACATCACTACCCTTTGGGATTTAGCCAATCATTAGAAAATATATAATTACAACAATATTAAATATAGGTACATTTTAATAATGTGGTACTTCTATAAGCAAAAATTTTATAGGCATTTTATTAGAGATATGTTGATACTGTCTTTTTATATAGTGTAATTAATATTTATGAAACTATGGCAAGTCACTAAAGTAAAATGTAATAATGAATTACGTAATAAGTATTTTAGTGATTTACATTTTGGAACTTAGCTGGTGCTTTGAGAGAAAAAAAACATTAAAAGAGAAAAAAAATATTTTATCAATCAAAATTGTCGTTAACATTTTATTTTTTCGTGGCTTGTCCTTGTTTTACAAGAAGCAATAATGCAACTAAAAAAGAACAATAAATGTATTATATGATATAACCAGAAATCGAGGCTGTTATAATTCTAAGAATAGTTTAGAGATTTGTTACAGAATTATATGTTGCGTAGATAGAGAAACAGCTAGTTGTTTGTAATAACTACAACTTTAATACAAACATTATTAATTGGCACATCCAAATATCAGATTATAAATAATAAAAATAGAATTACAAGAACAAGCTGGTTACTGGGGAACTGTTAATGTTTACATAATTAGATGGGTAACTAAGCATATAGTGTTATTAATAAATTAGTGAAGTTTTCAAAGTTGTCAATGACAAAAAGTTTGAAAACGTATTTTTTAAAACCTACCCAGTAACTTATGTATAAAAATGCTAACTACAGTCAGTTATCGATATTACGAAATCAAAGGGAAATATAGAAAAATCATATATTTTAACTGAAAATTGAATATTTTTTAATAAGTCAGTCAAAATAATAATCATACTGACTTTTTAAAAGTTGTTAAACTTGCCTTTAATAGGAAAAAAAAATTATTTTACATTTTGTTGAAGTTCGATTTTGCCAGATCTTCCCTTTCTGAAATACCCATACCTGCCAACATTGGAGAAATAAAATAACGGAGATTTTACTAGCGACATTTTTTTAGGGTACGAGTAAACTTTTGATAGATCATGCACAATCATAAGTCAGAAAGAAAAATTCAAAATAATAGAAGCACTTACATTTAGTGAAGTAAAAAATAAGTAAATAAATCTTAATCTACAGAAGATTTTTTTAAACCATTAATTATAATTAAACTATAAACACTGCACTAATTATTAATCCCTGATAATCCTGAGAATGGCACAAACACTAAAGCACAACACTTGTAGAAAAAACATAAGTCCCGTTCACAGGGCCAGGGTCAGTCGACTGGTACTTAAACTCACTTAACTAAAATATAGTAATAATTGGCGATAAAATATTCGTTGACGCCAAAAATACTTCTCTTATTCCTCAACAGATGGTGCTATTTCCAGTTCTTAAACTATATTTTTATTTCATAACCGTCGTTGAACAGCCGATCCAATTTTGGGTTTACAACTACTGTTTAACTCTGCAGCCTTGTACTTTTGAACCAATCCAGAAGACAAGGAAACTCCTGAATTAGTAGCCCCAGAAGATGATTTCTTATGAGAACATGGAGGACTTCATGACTCGACAGATGTTACGTGCATCATTTACTCTACGGGGAGGCTTTGGCCAGCGGGGATCGAACCCACGATCTCCTTGACATGGGCCATGAGTCCTACCAACCAGGCTATCCTGGTCCTATAAGCACTCAAGATGCTCCAGTACTGGCAATAGCACCATTTGTTGAGGAATAAGTGAAGTATTTTTGCCATCAGGGAATATTGTATCGCCTATTTTTTTAAAAAAATTTCTTCAACGAGTACGGAGAAATTTGAGAATATACGGGTAAACAGGAGATAATCATAAAATACAGGAGTCTTCGTTAAGAACAGGAGACTTGGCAGGTATGGATACCTCCAGATGTTTTGAAGAGGCCTCTCTTCTCTCAGCTCAATAGAGAAAAATTCGAAATATGTTTATTTAATTTTCACAAATAAACCGATGGCAGATATTTACCACATTTGACAGTATTTTTCAATACATGGACGTTACCCATAAAGAGTGCAGTATTTTAGAATTTTTTTCTGACAAAATTATACCAACACAGTTCTGCAATCAGCAGTTTTTGAAAGGTAGTTGAATAGTTTACAGTTATGCATTTTTAGATTTTCAATAAACATTTTCGTGCAATTGACGTTAAAAAAAATATAGCATAATCCAAATCAGTATAAACTGCGATAAAAATAAAATTTTTAAAAAAATCTAAAAACTGATAATTGTGTCATTTTTAAATGCATAATTCAAAATCATAAATTCCATAATTTTGCTTTTAAGTTATAAGGAAAAATACATATAAGTCCTATAAATCATTATGCACTACTTTACCAGTAATAAAGTGAGCCCTATATTTTCTTTTCTTTTCAAAAGGTATAGTGATATCAAACAATACACAAAAATACCAAGAAAGCTTAAATAAAATGGCAAGAGCATTTTAGTACTATTGATTAATCCCTACCATACATACCGAAATATTGCCGGGAGTAACAGTGAAAATACAAGTATCTTTTAAATTTATTAAATTCGGTTCCTATTTTATGAGCAAATACTGTTATCTCTACACATATCCATTTATTTAAGAATGGACAATTCATAAAATTATTTATATTTATAATTTCTTTTGTATTAGTCAAATTGAATTAAGAAATGCTTTGAGTGTTTTCATAAGTTAATAAGGGATGGTATTAAAAATGTCTTGGTTTTAACGTATGAAAGATCACTCGTTAAAATTATTATAGCATTAACTTTCTTCCAATAAATAATCTGCCTCGGTTCCTTTTAAAAAATGCCTTGCACCCCATTTTATTTCATCATAAATGTTGCATTGTACCTTGTTTGCTTTCTATATGTAAATGTGTGAAAAAGTTACCTGATTAGATATACTTTTTATGCAAAGATCTGTACAATCAAAATTATTTGAATAAATTGTTTTTACTGTTATAGTTGAATTATCTGTTATGAAGTAATTTCATTTGAAGGTAAATTAGAATTCAATAACACTTACTATTTAATTCATTGGCATACAAGGAGTTTATAAATGATTGAATTGATTGGTTAACCATTTTAATTTGCGCTATAATTCAGAGCGCTACAGAATCTGAAAGGCTTAACTACAATAGTAAAGTAACAAATCACTTTGGCAATCCTCAATTACAATTTCATTTTCCTGATATGCCAACTTTCTAAACTAGATATCAGTAATCATAATTACAATATAAAAATATATCCAGATAGCATTTAAGAATTTCTAACCAGCTTCACTTTAAAGTGAATATACTACTTAATTTTAAACAAATATATAGTCAGTTAGACATTTGTTCGGAAGAAACGAAAAATGACCAAATATAGTAGTTTAATTACTATCGCTTATATAAAAACTGCATTTGCTTCAAAAATATATAAATAGCAAATATCAGTCGACAAGTTTAAAGGCACATTAAAAATATGTGCCCTTTTTCAAGACCTGTCAGAGGTGAATGAGAAGAAACAAAAGTGATTTGAAATAAACATTAAGTTGCCAACAGAAAATTAAATGTGAGAAATAATGGCAGAATAAAGGTAAGAAACAATGTGTCTTACTTACCTTTAGAGAAAATAATCCATTGATAAAAAAAATTAAATTTTTTTTTTACTGAAATAAATTAATATTTATTTAAATGTTGAAATGGAAAAAAAAAAAAAATCACTTCGAGCATTCTTCCACAATAAGACTTAAGACGTAATAATACTAAAAAACGTCACCAGAGTCTTCCCTTTTCATGTCTCCAAAAGTTTAATATATCACAGCCAGATAATTCTCTGTTTAGTGCAATTTATGCCTTATCAATATATATAAGCAACAATCTTTATTAATTTTGATGACATTTGCATGCTTATTTTCCCCCTTTTAAGTGAATTAGTAATTTTTTATTGAATTTTTCTTGTATTTTTCTTTTACACTTCAGGGTTTTATTTTACATGTTGGGATTTTTATGGAAAAGGGTCACTTTTTAATATAAACTTTCTCAAATATTTCTGCCTTTAATATCGCAATCCTCAAACTCTATCATAACCTTGTTTTCTTCATACATTATTCAAGCAAAATCTTTAGAAATAATTTATTGTTACAACTTTCACACATTTTAACTGAGGTTAGCTATTCAGTGCAATCAGGGATTAGGAAGTTATTATAATTACAAATAGCGAACTAATTTTTATCACCAAATACAAAAAGTATGAATAATCATTATGATACACAGATTTTACAATTCTGTTTCAAACTCAAAATAAAGAACATGAAATTTGTTTTGATTGTTCAAATTTAATTACTTATAACACTTACGCTAATCTATTGCATAGGAGAATTCTAGTTTCTTCCGAAAGAAATTACAACTCTTAGTGCAATATAGCTTCATAGAAAAAAAAACTAAAAAAAAAAAAAAAACATGTCGGACTACCACGTATATTANAGAAAAAAAACTAAAAAAAAAAAAAAAAACATTTGTCGGACTACCATGTATATTATCTTTATATTTCTTCAATATGTAAAATAAAATAGCTAAATTGAATAAACACATATATATTTGTTCTTCTTTAATGCACAAAAAAGTATAGAAATTGCAATACAGAATGAAACGTTAAACGCAGAATATTTTTATATGAGTAACAGCAAAACAAAGCACAGCAGAGTCTGTTTATATGAGTGATTAATTTGTAGTTACAAAGAGTAGCATCTTCTTTACCGCACAACATTAACCTATAAAAAAATATTTTTGAATTAAGAACAAGGGTATTTTATTATTTTGTAACAAATATTAACTTTGTTATAACACTTGTTGATATTTAGGATTTACAATAAAAATTTTAACAAATGATTAGTTTGAGATTTGAAAAATCTGCACAAAACCTTGTTATTACAACCATTACTTTGATTTCATAAGGAAGTTCTCCAGTTTTTTCAAATTGTTGAAATCTACACAAAATTTGTGAATAGTCTTCTTCGACCAGCTTTGTTAATTAGTACAAATAAGGCTCTGTCCTGCTTTCAATATAATGAGAAATCATAAAAAACTTGCTCTTCATATAGTTGTAGTTCTTAAATTGCAAATAAATACAAAACATTGTAAATTTATAGCAAAATAAATAAATAAATATAAGAACATACAGTAAATTATTTCCAAAATTTAACAGTTTCCTATAATACTAAACATAAGATAAAGGTGTAAATTAAAATAAAATAATGAAAACATTAAAATTGAAAAGTTTAGGATAAAAAGCTAATAAAAATTTATTATTTAATATTAACAACAATGTATACAAATGTTGCTTGAAGATATAAAACAAATATTGTTTTCAGCTTTCAAGACACTGAAATTTTAGACTTGTTTTGTAAATTTAGATTCTGAGTCTATCTATAAGATAAATTTTTTGTGACAGCTTTTTATCTTAAATTCTGTAAGGCTACCGTTGCCAGACCCTGATTTCACTTAATTATCCATAAAAAGAGTTACAAAAACAACTTTTTTAGTACTATTAGCTATTATTTAGTACTATAAAATTAATTTAAAATTTTCACACATACCAATCAGCAGTCAAAATGTTGTTTAAAATCAGGTAATTTTAAAATGAACCGTTAAATACAGAAAGGTTTGTAAACAGACTTAATATGTGTTTTTGCAACAAGTCATTCATATCAAAATAAATGAATAAATAAAAACTCACTATATCATCTATCTTCATGAGAGTTTCCACTGTCTCTGAGGCCAAGGTGACAGCACTCACACTAACGAGAAGGGGCTGAACTACATTCTCTTCTAGAATATTTGTAACAGAGCCCTGCAAATAAATTTAGATATACTTTTTAGTTATGAACAGTGTAATAATTTATCGAAATGCATAATATTATGAAATAGCTAAATTTTATCCTCAAATTTTTTTTTAAACTACTCTCTTATATTATTTTATGGGTATATTTCAAAAAGTAATTTTCCCATTATCAAAATAAGAGAAAAATTTGTAGTTTATAAAAATAATTAAAGGCATGCTAAAAGGCANTGATATGATTTGTGAGATTCTTTATATTTTTATTTTCAAAATAAGTAAATTAAAAAAATGATAAATTTATAAATAGCATGAAAGATTTTTTTCAATAATTTAAACTGAAAATCATGAGAAAATGAACATTTAAAGGTGCATTAAAAAAAGTTTAAAAATAGTTTTAAAATCACTTTAAACATGTATTAATGTAGCATCGGCATGCTAAAAGGCAATCTCCGAGCATATTTTTATTTTCAAAATAAGTAAATTAAAAAAATGATGAATTTATAAATAGCATGAAAGATTTTTTTCAATAATTTAAACTGAAAATTATGAGAAAATGAACATTTAAAGGTGCATTAAAAAAAGTTTAAAAATAGTTTTAAAATCACTTTAAACATGTATTAATATCCCCCCCACTGAAAAAAGATCATTATGAAATTCTAACCAGTTAAGAAGTATCTAAACTAAGTAAATATTTGTAACAGTAATTAGAATTAAATCTCTAAATACAGATAATTTTAACAGTGTGTAATTGTTATTTAAACAGTGAATTAATTTTTTTTCAAAATGGAATCTGAATAAAAAGGCAGCATTTTTATGGAATGGCAGTTTATTTTTACAAAATGTGTGCAGTTAAGATCAAAAAGCAAGCAGGGTTGGCCGCCCTTTGCAAATTGGTGTCAAAAGAAGTTTAGCCTTAACATGTACAATACACTCCGTCGATCTCCTTGCAAATCTACATGATTTTTAAATTTCATGTTTTGATATAATGTTATTATAACAAGCCTTTTTTGAATGTCAGTTACGTTTTTGACATTATTACAAAAACAATACTTACTTTGCGAACATTTATTCCTGCATTCTTTTCACCATTAGCGTGCCTGTTTCTAAGTTCTGTGACAGTGGCAATTGCATTCAACCCTGCATTCTCAGCCAGAGTGTAGGGAATGATATCAAAGGCATCTGCATACGCTCTTATACAATAGGACTGCATCCCTGAAAGGGTCCTCGAATACTCTGCAAGTCTTAAAGAGAGTTCAATTTCAGGAGCACCACCACCAGCAATCAGAGCCCTGTTAAAAATATATGTCATTAATATTTTGCCACCCATGCAAAAAGTTAGCTATGATGTCACATTAAATTATTTGGCCAAACAAATATTCAGCTACACCAAATAATTAGATTGAATATCCCATCATTCCGAGAGCAAATAATTAGGTTGAATATCCAATTATTCAGCTAGACAAAGCAATTCCTTTGAAAATCATACTTTTCGATCTCTTAAATATTCAAGTAGATCTGTGCGAGAAATGCACTTTTTATGTACTGGATTATTGATGTTTCATGAGTAAACATGCCTGGTAAAACCACATAGTGCAATTCCACAATAAAATCAAGCAGATAACCGAAATTTTAAAATAAATATTTTTAAGCAATAAAGTTATTTTTTTCAAGTTAAAACACAGAAGATTTAGTAACTTATTTATATCAGTTTTCAATGAAGGGCTGCGTCATTGGAAATTTTTAGCCACAGTAAGAGAAGCACTAAGTTTTCATTTGAAAATTTCCACCAATTAATAGAATGGAATAAATAATAATTATAGTAAAGTGTTTCAAGACAGGTTACCAAGAACTAATGAGTAAAAATCTACATTTTGATTTAGAAAAAAATTTTTAAGATGCACTTTTGATATTTTAAGTTCAACACCAAAATGCATCATTAATTGTACTGTGGCAAGAAGATTTAATGTAAAAAAAATTTATTCTTTTTTTTTTTAAAAAAAACAAGAGTCTATGTCTCATTTGTATAATATATTGTGATTTTAAAAATAAATATTTTTATTGTAGATTAATAATTATATTTACATCCGACGCCATTGCTTTTTTTAAAAATAAAATGAAGTGAAATATGAAAAATACCATCTAAATATTCAAGTAGACTTAACAACTTTGACCTAATAAAATCTGCTTAACTATGCTGCCCTTGAAGTTATTTATATCATGAACTTAAAATTGACCAAATAAATTTTTTCCATAACTTTTTTGAGATAAGAAGTTCAACTTAAATTTTTTAAGAAGCAACTTAACTCCATTTAAAACATTTCAAATGAATATTTTGGTTAGAAGAGCATGAAGCAAGCGTTTGGAGCAATCCTTTTTTTTCCAGAGTACTTTGTAACTATTATTTATTTTGGATGCGTTTTTTGAGACAATCAACTCATCCCTATTCAGTAACACAACCAATATTCAACCTAATACGAGTAAAAGCCGTAGTTAGGGTTTACAGTGCCAGAAACAAACCCAGTTTTTGCACCCCCTGACACATATAATGTATATAAAGGATATGTTAGACTTAAGGGGACTTTTTAGGAATCTTATAAGTTTGAATTTAATGAAACTAAATTCATTAATTAAATTTTGCATTGAATAAATTTTCACAACTTTAAATTAACGTAGCTCAACAACTTAAGACACTCATTCGATTAGGTTTAAAATTGAACAATACATATTGTTAATATAATTTCCATTACACTTAGATGCTTTGTATTTTTGATTGAATTATAAGCACTTATTGTTTTATTTCAAACATCATGATTGGCAGACTCTCTTATTGCCGCGTATTTTCACAAGGTTTTTAAGGTCCAAATTTTTAAAGCTACAGAAAAATTTGAATATTAGCTTTGTGATGCACTCGATTAACGAAGATTTGTTGTCCCCATGTTTTGTTGATCACATTTTCAACAGTTATTGCTTAGGATTTTCTCATAGTTTTCAAATCTTTTTTGATATAATATATTATATGAAATTCAAAAAAAAAATTTTTTTTTGATATAATATTTTTACTTAATCTAGTAGTGACAATTTCAGTTCAAATGGGCTATTTTCTCAAAATGCAAGAACTTTGTAGATTCTGAAATCGAGCAAGTGATTCCTAGCTTCAGTAATATTTTAATGTGGGACAAGGAAAAAAAAATCAAAATTTAAAAAATCAGTTAAAAATTTATCAAAAAAATCTGAAGTCAGATAGGTAGAAATAATGAAAAAGTAAAAATTAACAGAAAAAAGCAGGATTTTTATCCCTGACATGTACCCTAACTATGAGAACATATATTTCCTTATAAAGTTATATTTTGATTATTGATAAATAAACTTAACTATATATATGAATGTGAAATCCATGTTTATCACACGATATTCTATGGTGAAAACTTTAAAAGGATTTTTTTTACTCTGTTAAAACACACATATTTAAAGAATGAGACAGGGGAGAGATAGCTTACTTTTTCTTAACAAGGCATCGTATGACGCATAAAGCATCATGAAGTGACCTGTCAGCTTCTTCTAAAACTAAATTGTTTGATCCTCTTAAGAAGAGTGTCACAGTTTTACCAGGATTAGCTACACCAGTAACCTGTTCAAGCAAAAAACAAATTCAATAAAATACAAAACTCCAATAGAAGAAACCTATCAAAATATTTGCCTAAAAACACCCATAGGAAATAAAATCTTCATAAAATAGATGACACTTGTTCAGCGTATCGAAATGAATAAGATAAAATACATATATTTTTTTAAAATGTAGTATAATGACAAAATAGCAATCACTCAAATAAGCTTAATTAAAAATATTATATATTGTCAAGAAATAGTGAGGCAAAAAAGTGTGAAATAGCCACAAAATTGGTTAAAAAAAAGAAGGCATACCCATATATTTAACACATTGATAAGTGACAATACCAAAAGTGAAAAAAATAGAAACCTCTAAAAAATATATATACAGGGTCTATAAAAAATATATACAGGGGTGTCTCAGGACTATTAATATTAAGGATTCGCTTAAATAATTTTTTTAAAAATAAAAATTGTAATAAATACAGGCTTTGTAGTGGAAAAGAAAAATATCAGGATTAATCAAAGAAAAAATCATGAAAAATCAGAGCATTTTTGGGAACAATATGCACCTACTCAGACTTTACCACTTTTAAAAGAGTAAACACAAAACTAAAAAATTGTATATTTTGCTCTACTTTAAAAGAAATAAATGTAAATTTTATAGCAAAATAATAATAAAATATATAATTTCAAAATTATTTTGTTCAGAATCAGAAGTTTCACAGTTTCCTGTAAAATTTTATCAATGCTGTACAACATATATAGTTTCATGTCAATTAGTTAATATTCCATAAAATCAATATTTAACAAAAAATTTGCAACTGAATTTAAGATTTCCTTAACCAAATAACTTTAAGATGAAGCTCCTATTTTCTTGAAATGGAAACAGTACATATGCCAAATAGAATTTTTATACAAAAGTAATTTTAGTGGATAATCACTCAATTCATCAATTAAAAATTCTGTGAAACGAATACTGTATTCTTGATAAGTATCAATATTTATTTAAAAATTAAACGAAAGAGACAAATTAATAATTGTGAAACTATAATAGTCCATCCAACAGCCTTCCCAGCCTTTGCTAAAAACAAATAATAAATGCATGAAAAATTGTCAATTGAGTTTCTTCTTCATAGAATGATTGAAGTTCATTAAAGATTTAAACAATAAATCCAGTTGGCGAGGCTGTATGCCATAACCATGCATATAATAAATAGACAGTTTCTACATTGGAGCTATTGAAAATGAAAATTTTTTGATTGTCGGATTTGATTTTCAAAAATCTACATTTGTATGTATGTATGGAAAATGGATGTTCTGAACCCATTAAAAGTCAGAATGAAATCAGGACAATTTTTTTTTAAATCAAGAAAATTTGTACAACTAGGTACCTCGTAAATATAATCAGTATAAAATATATATATACCCTTATTATTTTATATAACGAAATCCAACTTGAACTATAAAAGCGTAATAAGATTTCAACCTTGTACAAGTTTATTTTTAAAGATCTTACTGAGCATAAGATTTTAAAAATAAATTTCAATTAAAAGTATAATACAAATAAAAACATGCTTCTTATTTATTTATTTTTATTAATTGGACAGATGTAAAAAATTAAAAGCTTCTCTCTCTTAATTTCTATTTTTTTATACATAAGATAAATTTTGAAAAGAGAACTAAATTAAAATTATTCAAAACAACAGCAGAAATAATTAAGTCTTAAAAATTAAGTCTAATAAAATAAAGAATTAATAAATAGAAGTATGCATTTAGTCTGAGGTCATTGATAATACCTTAAATAATTTTAAAAATAAATAAACATTTTAACTTAAATTACAATTTCAGTATTGCGTCTTAAAAAAATTATTTTTTCAAATATTATTATAATTTCTTTTACTTCATTAGCAATATTTTAAAAGCATATTATTTTAAAAATCTACATCAGAAAAAATTATATGTAATTACTTAAACACATTAACTAAAAATTTTAATAGAAGCTTTTTTAAATTTAAGACTCAATCAGCTTGCTTTAATAATTGATTACCTACATAATTGCATCATAAAAAATAAATAAATAAAAGTATATTATTTTTTTCTAAAATGGAGCTAATGTTTGAAACTTAAATAATTGTCAAGCATATTTCCAGATTTTTTTTTCAGAATGTCTACAATGAAAAAAATGATTATGACACTAATGAAAAACTAAGAATTACAGAACAAAATATTTTTTTTTTAAAAAATGTATTCAATTCAAATATAAAATTTTTATTACTTTAAGGATAAGGAAAAAGTAGTTAATAAGCAAATATGATTGATAGAGGTTGCTAAATATGTACAACATTTTATAAATAAATTATGTAATTGGCATAAAAAATGAATAGGAGAAGAAGAAAAAAAAAGGATCACATCATTGATACTACTGTTACAATAAGTCAAAATGAGATGCTATACCTTAACATATTTAACACCACCAGCAGAAAATTCTTGAACTAATTCAGCTGATCCTAGAGCCTCAGGAACAAAATGATCTAAACTAGCAATTGGCCTGCAATTTAAACTCTGGAAAAGGAAAACAATTTTAAACACTCTTCTACACAAAGAAGACATGTTTCAGTAAATAACAAACATAAAAAAATTATATCTTTGAACTTTAAAAAAAAGTCTATCGAAATAAGAAAATAATTCAGTATGATTCACAAGTGTTACTCGCATAATACATTTTAAAAACAGCGGAAAGTCCCAGATCTCAAATCGTTCGCACGTGCGAAATATAAATTATTCCAGATAATAGGCTTTTAAGGTAAATAAACATCAAAATATCTTTATTCAACAAAAAATGATAATTAACACCAATTTCAATCAACAACGTATAAAACCACTTGGTTTGCATGGCTGAGCTATTTTCGTAGCTTTTGTCACAGACTTCCATACAGCTTTTAAAATCTCGATATTTTAATATGCCATTAAGACATACCAAATTCTGAATCACACACTTTAATTAGTAATATTTTTATATTAATTAGTAATATACCGTCAATCCTTTTTACAAGTTATAAAAATGCACTTTCACTTGTTTTCAAAAATCCTAATGTTTTCAATATTAATTGGTTCGGCAAACTTTGAATCACACATTTCACACCCAATTATTGAAAATTCCCCCGCAGTCCCACGTGGATTGACAATAACATTTTTGTCAGCTATTGCTAGAGATTTTCATTGTTATTAATAACTTTATTTCATTCATAACTATGAGATTATTTTGTTTCTAACATCACATTTCAAACATTCAGAAAAAAGGAAGATTAATACAGGTATTGAAAATCAGGACAATTATATAAACTAGCCATTAGCAAGAAAATAGCAACATGAAAGCTTCATTAACCAAATCTTCAGAGTCAATAAACGAGTTATGCAATCTGAAAATGACGAAATTATTGTTTTTCACTCTAAGAGATAATTCCCATTATTATCTCTAATGGTACACTTCCACAATCTGTTTTATCTTTTTATTATTGTTTGAAGATTTTTAACAGATAAAAAATAGATGCAGATTAATGACTAATTTGATGCACAAATACCTTTTCAATTTAAACATACATTTTGTTAAGAAAAACCAGTAAGGTAAAATTAAATCAAAACAATTATTTTTTTTTAAACAAAAAAATTAAGTTACAATTGCATCTAATGGATTGAGCAGTTTCATTAAAGTGGCATTTTTTTAAAATGTGCTAAAACAATGATAACCTAAGAAGATATTTTTACTTCAATACTTACTTTGCAAACAAATTCAATATCTTCTCTTTCAATATCTTTTATAACCATAATTTTCATTTTAGCAAAAAAGTGAAGAGCTAAGTCTGAAATAGCATCCCTAAAATTTAAAATTTTATGTTAGAATTTCAACAACTGTTATCAAGTCATCAGTTTTTATATGTGTTTGCCAAAATATTTAACTTAAAACCACAAATTGTCTTAAATTTTCATAATCAATAATTTATCAAAAAAGTGAATTTCAGGAAGAAAAATGGACTTGCAGTCTTAAAAATTCTTATAATAATAATGAAAAAATAATAATTTCACTATACTGTTGTTGTAACCAAGAAGGTAATATCTTATATTAAGCCATTTAGAGTTTCCCTTTTTATTAAGTTCCGATATTAAAATTAAACTATTTTATTAATACCCCACCCCCATTCCTTACATTATTTAATGCTTTATTATTATAACAAATATTTATTGTTTTGTTTCAGTATTAGAAACGAAAAAATTGGAATGGTAAAAGTTAGAGATATTGTTTGATTGATAAGATTGGCAAAAAATTCAACCATTAAAAACTAATTTTCCTGGGAGTGTATATACTATACATGCAACAGATATTACAACCTTAATAATATACTTGTTTTGCTTGTGGCTAATATTTATGCAAATCTCATGAAAATGAAAGACAGGTTTTATGTATTTCCAAGTACTTTTTATAATTTTGTACTTAAACGTACAGAAACTTGTGAAAATGATAATTTTTTTAAAAGTAGTAATACTTACCTAAGTATAGACTTCTGAATCAGTAATACATTACAGCCGGCCTTCTTAACTTGTTTCACTATATTTAAGAGATAGGTACGCTCTTCTCTCAACACTCTGTCCATCTGGGTGTAATCAGAAACCACTACTCTATTGTCCATCTGAAAAACAACAAACAAACCTTGTTAACACATTCACAAGTAAATCAAGATCACATCAGTGACAACTCTTCGAGCATAACTAAATTCCCCAAGATTTTAAGAATAAAATTTTTATGATTTCAATTAATATAATTTCAATTGTACTTTAAAATTCAACATACATACTTATATGTACCAAGAACCAATATTAAAAGGCACAAGAAACATTTCACTCTAAGGCTAACACACTAGACAGAAGAAAAACTTTTTCCGTCTAATGCCGACTCTAGCCAAAATCTGTCCAAAACAGTGACCCCACACCCCTTCTTGAAATAGTTATATCTCGTTACCATGGTCACCGCCAAGGGCACAGACAAATAGCAAGGGGAGTTTTTACTGAGGATCCTGTTAATATTAAATCAATATTGTTTACTGAGGATTTATTATATTCCAGCTGGCCAAGTAATTTAGAATTTCGCATTAAGCAGTTTATTCATTATAACACACGCACACACACACACAAAAAAAAAAAAAAACGGAAATTAGTAACAATATTTTGGGTAAAACAATCAAAAGTATACTCTACAATCTAAGTTCAAGAGTAGGTAAGCTTAATTCCGATTATTCTTTCATTATTCACTTCTGCATAGCTGCCAACATGGATAGGAAAGAATCCAGTAGATTTTACGAAATAATATGAATTTCACGATACTGTACATGATTATGTACTAAATATTTTACACATAGGGAATTTTTATAGCCATCAAATTAGAAAAACTGAAATATTTTCCAGTTGTGATTGACATTAAACATACTTGAAATATTATGTTTACTCATAATTTCAAATATTAATAGGCATCAAAGATAGCTAAAAGATCATTTTAATTAATTTAAAAAGAAAGTTCTGAATTGAAATAAACTGAACATTTTAGAACAAAAAGAGTTTTGAACTGATTTCTATTAGTATTACTTATTATGCATTAGTAATGCTTATTTAAATATTAAAGCAGGCATTAATCTGCACAAAAAATTCTATTGAAATAGGGATTTTTTTTAGGAAACCTACTTAATTTTAGGGAATTTCCTAAAATGAACAAAAACTAGGAGAATTTTAATTAAACCAGTAGACCAGGAGAAACTGGCAAAACCCAATAGAGTTGGCAGCTATGCTTCTGTTATATCAAATCATTTGTTCAGATAACAGTAGAGAATGGATAAAAAAAATTAAAAAAAATCAGAAGTCGGGTAAGAATAAGAAAGAGGAAAAGCAGAGGATTCTCTCACCCCTGTATTATTTTCAAAAAACTTAGTATCACAATAATCTAAGTAGTTTCTATGGGATATTTTGTAACTCTAAATAGATTAATCTACTCCTTAAACATTTTTTTATCTAAACGTTTCAGGGAAACACAATATAATATTAATTAAAAATAATAATAATTCTCACGTTGGTTTTAGGAGGAGACACACAGAATTGAATAAGTCCAATTTTTGCTTTCTCTATTTTAGTAACACCACCAAGACCAGCACTCCTTTGCTTGAATAGAAGCCCATCAATGAGTTCTATATCATCCACAGTGCCTCTGTAGAAAAGAAAGCATCAAAAAGGCAGAGTATTAAAACAATAGAAAATATACCTAAGAAATAAATAATAGTAATACATCAAATTAAAAATTACTGCAAACAAGACGGCAGTGCAAGTGCAAAATAAAATTATTTCAATATATTTATACACATTTATCTATATTTAGATATGCTATATATTTATACTTTAGGGGCAAAAGAGGAGATAAATCTTGAATTATAAGACTATCGATGAAACAATAAATGAGACAAATATATAACAAATTATTTACATGTGTGTACCTATCTTAATACATAATTTTTTTTAAAAAAAAAAAAAAGCAAAATAAAATATTAAAAAAATTAAATAACTTAATTGAGATCAAGTAGCAACAATAGCAATACAGATTTCATTGTTAATCTATATCGTTTTCTAATGATTTTTACTTTAATTGAAACTTCTACGTATCTCATTCCAATATTTGTAATACAGGCAAGATTATCCAATTTGAGCATTGCTCAGTTGGATAATGTTGCATTGGATAATCTATTTGGAGACATGCATGAACCACAATAATTCTATCCTACTGATTGATATTTTTCAGATTTTCTTTAACTTCCTTTTATTTTTAATTTTTTATGTAGTTATTTTCCTATATTTTGAATTGGAATAATCTCTTATTGACGCACTTGAATTTCTAAAACTAAATTAAGTACACATATTAAGATTATATATATATATATATTTAGCAATCTCTTTTTCTTTAATTTCAACATTTTCAAAACAATATTATACTGGAATTTTGATTTCAAGAGATCACTGCCTGACACACTTGATTTGAAACTTCTCCAAATTCATATTGGTCGCAGTAAATTTTTTCCCCCTCAAAAATTTCTGCATGCTTTAAATTCTAAAATTTTCATATTGCCAGTCTTTTGTAAGCACTCTGTTTAGCTGTTTTTTGTGAAAATAGTGACAATAGTTGCAAGCGTTGCAGCAATTGTTTACTTGAGCAATTTTACATCCAATTGATAACTCAGAATTTAATATAAAGAATCAAATTTTTCGCCTATATTGTAAAATCAAAATTAAATAAGATTATTTTAAACAGCTATATTTTTCTAAAAAAAAAAAAAAAAGATTAAAATTTTAATCTTTTTGGAATTTTGTTCCTTCCCAGAGGGGGTGGCCCCCTTACTTAAGTAGCTAGACAACCAGCGCACAAAACTGAGCACTTTACAGAATAAGTTTAACGAGGACTGATATTATGCACTCGCTGGTTGATCTAAGGTCACCCACCTGTGCACTGTTATCTTAATAAAAAGAATCTATAGTATTTATGAAATACAAACCCAAGCTGTTTCATTATCTTAATATCTTTCAAATTAACATTTGTATCAACAGTTGGATCAATCACTTTCATTACAGCATCGACAGCAAGTGGAGCCAAGAGCATTGAATGCTGGGAAACAATCTGAAAAGAAAATAATTACAATAAACAATCCATTTTTAAAAATTAAAAAGTTCTAAACACAAAAGCTCTTATGCAATTGTGAAAAATTCTAGACTTTCAAAATTTATTGTAAATACATTGCTGCGTTAAAATAAGTTCCGATTAACTTCAATTACTTTATTATTATAAGATTTAAATACTTACACCACTCTTGAAATGACATTTTAAAAATCTTATAATTGAAAGAAAATGGAAGTTGCTTTATATTATGTACATAAATCTGTAAAAAATAGTTATTGATGATGAAATTTTTCTTAAGCAATGCTAATAACATTATTTGCAAGTACTTCTAGGGGCCCTTGAAAATCAAAATGAAATTCAAGTACTTTTCAAGGTTTTTTCAAGGCTGTGGGAACCCGCAACAAATTTATTTTGTGATGGTTATTTTAATTTCTTCATCAGTAGTTAATAATAACAAATTTTTTTATTTTTTTTATCAACAATTTATAATCTTGTATTTGCATGCATTATGAAGATATTTTAACAGTCTGATATAATTTATGACTTATTTTGAATGATATTTAGATTGCAAATATGTTTTTTAAGCTACTATAAAAAAGATAAAAATAAAAGGCCATTTAGTACCTTAAAAAAAATTAACCAACAGGGTTTCCACGTATTTTCAGAGGAAAATTTCAACATAATTCCAAACCATATTTGATCTATAGAGTGTAACTTTTAATAGGAAAGCCATGAATTTTTTTTCATTTGGATTGTTAAACATAAATTTTTATACCAAAAAAAGAAACAAAAATTATTTTTGCAATGAATAATAGTAACAGTTAACTTGAATCTCAGTAACTAAATAATTGAAACGATTACAAGATTGGTTACTTTCCAGGTATTTTTTGTGGGTTTCCCAGTTTTTTGTAGGAAAAAAACACCACTTTATCAAAATAGTCTTTTTCAGAACCAAAATCAAATTACCAGACAATCCCATTTTTTTCCTCGTTTTTATTGACTAATTGGAGCTCTGTATAAATAAGAGGGGGAAAAGAATATTAGGAATCCAAAAGAAAATAATTATAATATTCCACTATAAGATGTATAAAGCAAATTTATCCTTCTTCGACAATCAATTTTCTTATAGTTCACATATCACGAAAACTCAAACTATGACAGACAAACTTTTTTTTTAAAAATCTTATTAGAGTTGCTTAGACTAGTTAATAAAATGAATTTTTAAAATGGGATATTTTAGACCCTTTAAAAGTGGATCAAAAGGGAAAATTTTTTAGTGAAAGACTTCAAAAACTCACTTTAGAACTGAGAGCAGTTGTAGCACTTTTAAGCAGACTTTCTCTATCATTTAGTTCAACAGGTATAGCCATCCCATTCAAAATCTCGACTGCTTGCTGGGCACCAAGTTGAAATGATTCTGATATGGTAGTTGGGTGAATACCTGAAAATAAAAATATGCATGAAACAATATTTATATAACAACTTGTCAATATACAAAGAAAAAAGGTTTAAACTCCATAATATACAAAGAAAAAAGGTTTGAACTTTATAAGTTTTCGCTTCCTTACCTGCTTGACCCTTCACCTGGCTGTAATATCATTTGGCCTCTTTGAAAAAGCTATTTCTGTAAATCTAGATGTGATCTAAGCCAGAAAAAAAGCATGTTTGAAAGTATTTCAGGGTTCCCTCTCAATTTCAGAAGAAAAATAAATCCTTGACTTTTCCAGGTATATCAGGCAATAAAAATCCATACCATATTTTATCTATATCATGTAATTTTTCATCAGAAAACTTTTATTTTTTTAATATTTTAAATGTCAAATATTGCATTTTGTGAGCAAAAACTAAAATGGGGAACATGGAAAAGTTTCACTAAAAAGAGGAATTTTATAAAATACAGTGCAACCTGTAAAAGTGACCACCTGGGTAAAGTGAGAATCTGAGTAAGGTGACCATTTTCTGCAAGTTTTATTTAAAGAGTCCTTTTTAAAGACTCTTCATAAAGTGACCACCTCTATATAGTGGCCATTTGACTTGGTCCCGAGGGTGGTCAATTTAGACAGGTTCCACTGTAATTGTAATGGATGTTAGAATTATTTAACTCTGAATCTCAATAACTGATAACTCTAAGATTGGTTATTTTCCAGGTATGATATAGGAATTTTCCAGGTTTTTTGTAAAAAAATGCAACTTTCCCTGACTGTTGCCTGCTTTTTTGAGTTAAAATAAAATTCTCAGACAATTCCGGGTTTTCCCTGTTCTTCCTTATCCGTGGGAGCCTTGTTATTCGGTATATATGATTTTGAAGACACATAACAGGCACTTTAAGTCATTGGCAAGCCATAGATTCAGTGGATAAGAGCAGCAGGATAATCATGACCTGTTTTAATCATAAAAGTCATCACACTCCTAACCTGTTTAAATTGATCCGTTTTCTTTAATGGCTATTTTTAAATTCTTTTAGGGCCATTCATCTCAGAAAAAGATTTTCAAAATTGCCCATGAAATAATTTGAGATTTCTTTGGATGGGAGCAGAAAGGCATTCAGAAAAAGAGGGTGAAGAACAACCTATTGTAGCAAAATAACTCATTGGATCATCAATATTCACGAATGTTGGCTCAATAAGGGTACAAAAGGCCGTTATTTTTCAGACATTGGTATTATATAGAATTGTCAGATTCACCTGATATTTTACAGCCACATTAAAACCAATATATGCCCTATATAGAAGTGTCAGATTCACCCATTTTACATTCATTTTTCAGCCAATATAGGCTCTATATTGACCCCTCGCTGCATGTTCATATAGGATCTATATTCAGCCCAAGTGGAATGAAGATAAAATTGTTGCTAGGGTTGCGTCCCAATGACTTTTGAAGAACTTAAAAAAAAAATTACTAAAACTTTTTGTTCATTTTGTCAGAAGAAAACAATGCTCCTAAACCATTGGAACAAGCTTGAATGATAAATGTATTAAGTCCAGAGACTTCATTCACATGTTGGGAAAAATGCTACTACAGTAAAAATTTTGCGATGAAGCTGCTCAGGCTGATGCAGGAAGAAAGGCATGTGAGGTAGAAAAACAACAAATGGCTTGAACAGGGTGCACAGCCAAATCTCTCAACAAAAAATAAGCACATTTAAAGTACTTTTTAAGCACTCAAAAATAATTTTAAGCACTATATACATTAACAAATTGCAAAATAATTTTTATAGACTTTACATGATCATGATAAAATTACCAGTTTTTGACAAATAACTCTTTTCGATTATATTAGCCACCATAGAAAGATCGAGAGATTTTTTGGTTTTATTTCAGAGGGTGGAAAATGAAGCCTGAAGTTGAGAATATCTTGCAAAATGCAACAGAGTTGCACATGAGAGTGCAAGAATCTCAATGAACACAGCTCAGTAGTCACTCCCAAGTATTTCACCAAACATGTAACATGACTGGCACTATCATACGTTATGGACCAACAGCATACCAAAATGGATTGCAGTTGAATGAATTGAGAAAACGTTGAACAGAACAATGAGGAAACCACGCTTTTGCATAATATGCAGCAAAAATTGGTATGGTAAATAAAAAAAAATTATCATTTTTGAAAAAGGAAAATTAAGCACTTTTTAAAAACACCATAAAAAAGTACCTTAAGTTTTTAAAAAACGAAAATAAGCACAATTAAGCAATTTTTTAAAAAACGTCACGCACCATGAGGCTGCTATTTTCTGATTAGCCTGGTGCAGGGAGAAAGTCATGAGAAGTAGAAAAACAAAAAATGGCTTACAATAAGATCACATAAGAATAATCTTTATGGTTAATAACAAAGAAATCTTTAAAAAAAAGAGAGAGAGAGGATGGAGATTGTCAAATTTTCTTTCAACAGTGAATTAAATGCATAGGTTCATTCAATTCAATAGAATGCTCAGCCTGTATGTGTACTGAGTTTCATCCTGCAATCTATGGCATTAGTTAATTAAGCTAATAGTAAACTAAACCAAATTTTCTTGATAAAATTTGAAGAAAGTTTGATTTTAAAATTATCAGTGAAGAAAGAGAAGACTTCAATGAACGAAGTAATAGAATAGAGACCATTTAAGAGAATTAGCAGCTTTGTTATCACAGAAACTGACTTTATTCCACAGACTAGTCTCTTTTATATAAAAAAAACAATCTAATGAAACAAATTTATAATAAACAAGCTAATAAAACAAATTTTTATTCTATTTTAGTAATTCATAGCCATAAAGAAATAAAACGTGGCAATCTTAAATTTTAAAAAACATAATTTTGAATGAAAATACAGTTGAAACAAACATTTAATAATTTAAAAAGCTTTATACCTCTGTCTAAGAGCTTAGCAGCAGCATCTAATAGACTACCAGCTATAACAACAACCGATGTTGTTCCATCACCAGCTTCAATATCTTGAGCTTTTGACAAATCAACCAGCTGCATCAAATAAAAAATACTTTTTTATTTCTAATTCATACTTTATTGGAGGTTAAAAAACAATAATAATTAGGGTTGGCAAAATATCATTATTTTTTACTATGCATTACAATCCAACCACTAATAAAATAGATTAATAAGGTGCTAAATAAATTAGGTTAATAAAATAGATTAATAAGGTGCTTAATAAAACTAACTAAAATGGTCAAAATTATGATATGATTATTAGAAACTAATTGCTGAAAAAATAAAATCATTAGCTGTTTTTATTCAAGCTAAATATTCTAATGAATTTAATTCAACTGAAAAGGAAGAGTTTTTCCTAAGAAAGGCTTCAACATCGGAGACACAACATTAAATTCTGTTACAAATAAGAAATTATAAATAAAATAAATGATTAAAAACTAAAAGACAAGACTGGGACATTTACTTAGCGGCCATTGGAGGTAAATTTGTTAACGACCATTTTTTTCTTTTCACTGGTCATTTTTTCTGTTAAAAGTAACTTAATAATAATTTTGCGTCTAAATTGTCTAAAAAGTCATTTTGAAGTAGATTGCGCACTAAGGAATTCAAATTAATTCTAGAAAATTAACTAAATTTTAAAAGTATTGAACGGAAACAAATTAACTGACAGCTGAACTAATTACTGAATTAATTTTGTTACACATTACAATTGCATTAGAATTATCTGTAATCAGTGTTTTCATCATAGAAAAAAAATGGGTGAGAATTTCTCACCCTTTCTCAAAAACAGGGTGAGATTTCAGAAAGTTAAGTGAGATTTCTAAAAACTAAAAAAAACACAAATAGACTTGAAAAAAAATCCTTTTTTTGTTTGTTATAATACATTTTTAACGTCTTCTATTTTTTAAAGCATTTAATATTTTTGCTACATCATCATAGAAGATTTTGCCTTTCTAGGTATTTATCCATATTACATTAGCGTATAAAAACCTTACCTACGGTAAACACGTGGNGAGAGGTTTTTGACGGTTTAAACCAGTATTATACCCTTGTCATGTCAAAAACCACTTTTTGACGTCAAAAACCCAACCCTGCTTAGTGGCCATTGGAGGTAAATTTGTTAATGACCACTTTTTTCTTTTCACTGGTCATTCTTTGTGTTAAAAGTAACTTAATAATAATTCTGCGTCTAAATTGTCTAAAAAGTCATTTTGAAGTAGATTGGGCACTAAGGAATTCAAATTAATTCTAGAAAATTAACTAAATTTTAAAAGTATTAAACGGAAACAAATTAACTGATAGCTGAACTAATTACTGAATTAATTTTGTTACACATTACAATCGCATTAGAATTATCTGTAATTATAATTGGTTGAACACTTGCATTTTTATTTATAGTTATAATGGCTAATAATTATTTTCTAGACTGGGATGCATATATCAGAGTAGACAAGTTTTTGACAATTGACAGTTTTAACTATCATGTCAAACCCTTTTTGACAATTGCAAAAACCCAAAAGTTTGGTGCGAGGATTAGCTAGCATAAATATGAAATATTTTTTAAATAAACATGCATTTAAAATTATAAGTGATCAATCAATTATGTTCTTGAATTATTCCAACATTTAACTTTTCTTGTTTAGAAAATTACTGCCAGAAACCTAAATTTCGGTGTAGAAAATATTAAATTATAAATAATTAAATTAAAAAATAAATAATTAAATTAAAAATTAAATAATAAAAGTATGTATGCGATAAGATAATGATAGATAAATGAAAAGAATAAGATAAATAAGAATAGAATAAGAAAAGAAAAGATAAATGAAAAGAATAATTTCACAATTCTCACAATAACCACCACAATTTGATACTGTATTAGTAATAAATTTTGTTTCTTGAATAATAAAGAAAGTTAACTTTTAGGATGAATGTAAATTTCAGTTATCTTTTTTGTTGTATGTCAATCCCAATACAAATTAACCATAATTTGCTTTTGTAATTTAATAAGTTTAACTGTTTAAATTTATTCACATTAATTATTATTATTATCTGCACAGAAGCAAAAGATTATCTACAGACTTCTAAAATTATTCACATTACTTTCATAAGTATTCCTTGCACATTTATAATTACCGCATTATTTTTATATTGGCTCCTTGAGTCTTTATTTTGTGGCCCATTACCAACTAACAATGACAAAGGTTACAAGTCTTAAAACAAAAAAAAAATGCAATTTTAAAAAGTCAGAAAAAATAGAACTAAATCACTATTTCTCACCATTCTCGCTGAGGGATGCAACACCTGCATCTGCTTCAAGATAGTAGCGCCATCATTTGTAATTGTTACATCCCCATTGCCAGATTGGATCTAAAATTCAAAAAAAAAAAAATTTATAACTAGCTATAAATAGGACTGGGCTATAAATCGATTTATCGAGATATATCGATTTAACGCATATATCGGCAAAACGATACAGCGACTTTCATTCAAGGCGATGCATCGGAAATCTGATTTAAGCCGTCGAGTAAAGACAATGAGCGCAAAACGATATAGCGATATAAGACACGCAAGGATATAAGATAACGATATAGCGATATAAGACTCTTCTCTCACGTTCCGACGTCGACTCGCGCTGTGGAAGACGATGTTCGTTTCGTTATGTTGAAATGGCCTTGATTGGTGAGCTGTAGAATCGCGAAATCGATGAGGGTTTTG